AAAGCAAGATCATGCTTTTCAACATTTCTGTGGTACACCGTACACATTACCAACCTGAGATGGACCTACCAAGGGCTTAGTCCAATTCCTTGCATCAGCTATGGTGCAGAATCATAACTGGTATTAGTTCCCCAAAAAAAAAGAAAGGTGCTTCCCTTAGCTCCCTCTAAATATAATCAATGGTTGAACTTTATTGAACTTTCTCCAAAAAAAAAAAACACTTTCTCTATTTTAAATTTGGCAATAGTGAGAAATAAGTAAACAACACCTCTGATGATACTGCACGTGTTCCTCTGTAGGATGTCCAACACGAATCACTTTGTAATATGGGATCTTAGCTTGACGTGCATACCTATCAACCAAGGGAAGTAAATTAGTCGCAGTCCACAAAAACTGTAATAATCCTGTCCTTCACTGATTAGAACAAAAGTGGCAAGCCAACTTTGAGATGCTTTCTATAGTAGGTTTTCAACATGCTCTATTACGTGGCAAATCTAGGACTTTGGCAAGTAGAGTAGTAGACTGCAATTAAACTCAAATAACCTAGGCCAACATTTGTATGTACATTTGCATTAGAGAGGAAAGAGCCTTTTAACCGCACTTGAAGCTTGAGAATCCGAGAAGAATCAAGCAAGTTTATTTCTGTGTGTTGTAGGTGATTCTTGTCTAATTCTATAACGGTATGTTTGGGAACGTGATTTTCGTAGAGTGTATTTGAATTTGAGCCTTCCAAATTCAATATCACCGTTTGTTTTCACAAAATATGTAATTGAATTTATCCCAAATACATGTAATTGGGTTCATGCATTTCATTGCTTTAAATTTGTGTATTTGAAATACCCACACAACCTCATATATTTCAAATTTAGATCCATGTATTTCAACTCTCTCCTCTTCCTAGAAAAATTTTGACAGAGATTGATGGTGGATGATTTCCATCAGAAGAAGGTGCCAAATGATCAATCTCTGGTATAGAGATGTGATGCAGGAGCATAGAGCTCTTTTTAATGATTAGTTTTAGGGCTGTTTGTTTTGCATTAAGTTTGAGTTTTATTTGGAGTCTAAGTTTAATTTTAGGAAAGTCATTTTTAATTAGAATGAGAATTAGTAGTTTATTAGAAGTTCAAATTAGAATTGAATTAGGATTCTTAGCTATTGTTAGTATATATAGTTATTCTTCTTAGGTTTTAAAAACAGTTTTTGTTATGATATTTTAGTTTGATAATAAACTTGAGGTTGCGAACCTAAGTTTTATTGGTTCCATCTTTAATTTTACGAAGCTCTTAGCTTCTGTTTGTTCTACCCCTACCTTCCCTGCATCAAGATGGAAAACAATTTATCATCAATCCTCCATTGTTCCCTGCAAAGATCTTGTTTTCTTGTCTCTCTCTATACTTGGGAGGAATCCCCTTAATTTCACAAAAATCTTGATTCATATTGAAATATTACAAATCTTCTCCCAGAAAAATAGATTTTGGTTTTTGGTTTCCTTTTCCCTGGGTTCATATTGGGTAAGTTTTGTTTGTTTATATGGAATATACGCTTCTTCTCCAAATAATTTGACCGATAGAATTTTCCTTAAGATTTATATTTGTTCTTTTGGTGGGTGATGCTAGAGGTACTAGTGATTTTCTACTTCCTGTTTATTAGCGGATCGGGTGAAAGCTTTATGGCTTGGGCATGTTAGTAAAAGTTGCAAAGGCATTGTCTTGAAAGTGTCTGTAAAAATGCCTCAATCAACAAATTTAATATCAAATTCATTGTTGTTATTTTAATCCAAATAGTGAATTTGGAAATACATGTATTATAATACATCCCTCAAATACAAATTCAAGCTCCCAAACATATCCTAATTGAATTTTGAGATGAACTTGATTTTTCTATTTTTGCCATAAAGATGGTGATCTTGATTGAGTTAAAGCAATTTAGAGATATATAAATAAGCATAAAGACCAAATTCAACATGAAATTGAAAT